CTAGCTAAATACAGAAGAACTTAGCTGTTTTTTTTTCCAGGGCATTAAAACAAATTTCCATGTGATTTTGTGGGAGATGACTGTTGCTTGAGCTGCTATTACTGGAAAATCCTTTTTCTCTGCAGCATGGGCACTTTAAATATTTTGTCCCACCTTGTAAAATTCATCATCTTGTAGGAATCCATTTCTCTTCAGCCTGTGCACAAGAAAAGAGAACATGAGAAAACCTAAAGACAGAACACTGAATGCTCTACAACCCCCCATGGCCTCATCCTATGAATGTGTGCAGCTGTTTCAAAGCAGCTGGATCTCACACAAGATCCATGTGAATATTTAATTTGCTGCTACTGACAGCTACTGCTGCTACAGTTCTGACCAACAGGAGTAAAGAATCACATCACATTGAAGTCCATCCCACTGGAGCACCGAAGAGTTGTTCAGTAGAAATAAATAGTCTTGGGTTTTTACCAGCTAGAAATGCCTAATCCAGATATGGCCTAGTAGCCAAATCTTCCTTAATCCATATCCTCTCTATCATAAATGGTCACACCATTCCCTAAAATGCAAGTTTGGACCTGTTCTAGCATTTAGTCTTTTGCTTTCACACTTGGGAGCAAGAGATACCTTGAGAATGTAAACTGATTGTTCAAAAGGCTGCCTGGAGCATGAATCTGCAAACTCGAGCTGGTGGTTTGTACCTGTTGTAACACTTTACTCATTTTTCAGGTTAAATATATTAATTAATTCTTTTTATCAGCAGAATTTAAGTTAAGATTGCAAAAGGAAATAAATAAGGAACAACAGTGAAGGGAGTAAATCTGCAAAGGAAATCTTAAAGTTCTTCTATTTTATGCAGGGTGGGGAAAAAAAGCCATACTCTAAGTATTAAATTAACCTATGGAGTGAATAGGAAATTAAAAAAAGACTATGAGTTATGAAGGGTAAAGGTCAATATATATTATAGGTATGTGAGAAAGAGATATCTGAGAGAGACAAATATAACAAGTGAGAATCCATTGTACAGAATTTACAGTGTGTTTCTATATTAATCTAAATATAGAATAAATCTCATTGACTCAGTCAGATGGAGCACTCAAGGAGAAATTTAGGTGCCTTAAATTTCCAAGAGGCGTTTAGTGGGGTTTTAAAATACAGCCATAAGTAATCCATGACAGTTAAGTACATAGGAGGATTTTGATACACCTAAGTACCCTTAAAATCCCTGACCAAATCTGTGGAGACTTGAGAAGAATATGCAGGCCTCTGTGGACACAGGTTATAATGGCACCTTCACCTCCTAAATCAGCTGAACTATTAAGTAAACACAAGTATATGGATGAAAAGGATTTGAAGGTACATCTACATTCAGTGACCAACAAAAGTGTCTTCTTTCAGACTACCGGCAGTAAAACATGGAGAAGCTGCAAGTTGATTCAGGTCTGACCGAAAATTAGAAGTTATTTACATAACTATAAAATTTCTACATGCAAATTCGTTGGGTAAGCTGTTGCTCACCTCCATCAGGCACACAGCTCTACATCGCTGTACATACCTCAGTGGGTTACTTTGTATGTGCAGGAAACTGGCTGAAGTTTTGGCCTCTAAATGTTGTTTGACCGACTGCTGTTCACAAACAGTAGACAAACCTTTCAAAGATTACAGATGCTGGCAGTGCAATCTACACAGCTCTTCAGAAGGCACATGGGCTAAAGGCTCTACCAAAACACACTCTCATTGCTTCCATTTCCCCCTTACTGCCTACCTATGTCCATTTGTTGCTTCTTACTTTTATTCTTAAAATATAATTTGATTCAGATGATCAATGGGCTTGACCATTGCTATGTGAACACAAAGAACAGAGGCAGATGGAGAAATCCAAAGCACACCCAGAGAAAAGGAGCCTCTGACCTGGCTCCTCTCTTTGAGGGCTCAGCCTGGGGTCTGGTGTGACACCCATCAACACCAGCCAGTGGGAGAGGCTCTGTGGATCACTGTATAGAGAGGAGTTGGGAATCTCTAGGAGTTGCCTGCAGGGGTTGGGGATCACTGGGGGATGGAGGGGAAGAACATCTTTGGGATTGTACAAGACAACTTTTGGGATGTTTGGAGGAGGAATCAAAGGTGGGAGTAAGAGGGGGTGAAGGTGGTTTGATACAGAATAAAAGGATGCAGGGCTAAAGTGACCTGATTGGATGTTGGTGAGTATGCTTGTCTGGATACACCTTGTACCTGACCACCTCAGTCTGTCTTGTCTTAGTTAACTGTATTTTTTTTTTTTTTTGTGAGTGGCATCTATATTCCATGTGTATATATGTGTATTGTGGCCTGAGTGCCACCAATTAGAGATGGAGGCCACAAGTCACAGGGGCTTGTGTGTCCTAGGTGCAGCAGCTGGGGTGACGAGAGCACACTCTGAATGTATGTGAATCTGCATGTCCGTGTGTGGTCACTGGCAAACACCAATCCAGGGCAGGTGGAAGTCGAGTTTTGGAGCAGCCATGAGTTCAGGAAGGAAAGTGAAGAGACCAGAGGATCTCTGAGCTGGCTGCTGGAGAAACAAGGGGTTCTCAGTTACCTGCTGAGGAGATTGTGGTGGGGTCAGTTACTGGTAAGGCCACAACTCCAGACTAGCTACCAGAAGAACTTGTTTGTATCTGTGTGTGAGGCAAATGGGGATCCAGAGGTCAGCTACTGAACAGGCTGTGTCCTAAAGCCAGCACTGGACAAGGGAGCCATAGTTCATCATTGTAGATCTGATTACCAGCAACTAGAGGGGAACTGGAGGCCTCTGGGATAATATTTGCACTTGCCAGCAGCTGGAAAGAGTTGGAATTCAGGTGTTAACAACAGAATAAGATTAGTGTCTCAGACCAGCTATAGAGGGATCCATATTTATTTTCCATTAATGGGCTTCTGTCCTGATCAGCCAGAGAGGGGAACAGGATGAGGCCATTAATGCTGTTTGTTTTTGTGTGAGTGCTGTGTTTTCTGCCTGGGTTAGTCAGCGTGGCCAGCCTCTGTACGAGTGTGAGCCTACTGGGAGCACACACCCAGCATTACCATTACCTGGATCTGGGAACCTACTGAATTTTAAAAACTGGCATACCAGCAACAGGCGAGAGGGTGGCAAGTATGAGCAGTAAACAGAAGGATTTGCAAAGTGTGGGGAAAGCCAGGCCTGGAAGGCATAGTCAAGGACATATAGATTGAGGCAATGTCCAAGACAGCCTCACTAATCAGGCTGCTGAATAATGACTTGTTCATGGATCTCTTCCAAAAACGCAGATCACAAACAGAAGGACACTTATTCTGAGTCCTTCAGCAGAGAAAAAGGCACACAGTATCCAGTCCTCTGCTAATGGCTGCTTGCAAGGCAAACATGCTGATCCTGATCCTCCAGCTGCTTCCCTGATGTCAGAAAGAGATTTGACTCAGCCTAGCATGATGCATGTGGGCTACTCGGAGGTCATTTGCAAGATGCTGCAAGCCCTGCTGAAAAACATTTATGGAAAGGCAAGGCTGGAGCTGAGAGCACAGAGCTGAGCTGACATTGGTCATGTCACAGCAACGAAAGGGCAGACAGGGAGCAGGTGGCCTCCCAGTACAGAGATTTGGGGTTATTTGGCGTTATATATTGATTGGTGGGGGCCACCTTGACTGTGTTCAAGCTGTAGAGAGCACCTAAGATTGTTCACCAGAAGAGCCCCAGCTGGGCCACCTTACAACAAGTGGATAAGGAGGTTCTGTAACTCCAGCCTCAGGGCTGCTCTTGCACAGCAGCAGAGACTGGGTTGGGCAGCACAGATGTGCATGGACACATGAATGTCTCCCACCAGGGCTATATACTGGAATAGGCTATAGAGACAATGGCATCCCATGGAAGAGTCATGCTGGCATGACAGCGGGCACCTTCCACTTGGGAAACTGTGCAGCAGTTATCCAGAGGGGTCATAAAGCAGATTCGGCATCTGTGGGAAGTGACTTCCTCACTGGACAGGAAAGAAAATCTCCTTTTTCATTAAAAATCAAGGCATTTCAAACCATGCATATCTCCGGGCATGCTCTGTATTGTGGTGACGTGAGCTCTCAGGAAAGCTGCTCCACAGACTGCTTGACATCCCAGTTACAGTTTTCAGGCAGAAGCTTGTCCTATTGGCAAAAGAAAACCCCAAAACCAAAACCAAACAAACAAGAACCAAAACCAAAAAACCCCAACCAACCAAAACAAAAACAAAACAAAACAGAAACAAACAAACAAAAGAACACACAAAAAAGCATTCCAAAAAAACAAAACCAAAAACCCATCAGGAAAGAGCTGTGTGAAGAAGATGGCAAGGCACCCATTGTTTTGGATGCTGTGCCTTCACAGGATCACAGAACCACAGGATCAGTTCAGTAGGAAAAGAGCGGAAAGATCATCGAATCGAACACATGACTAAACACTACCGTACGTCACCTAGATCATGGCACTAAGAGCCACCTCCAGTCTTCCCTTAAACATCTCCAGGACCTCCACTGCCTCACTGGGCAGCCTGTTCGAATGTCTCATCACCTTTTTTGTGAAGAAATTCCACTTAAGAAGAATTCTGCGGCAAAGGCTGCGATGTGCCCGCCCGTCGGGGCAGGGGGACACGGGACAGGAGACGGAGGAGGCGGCGATGTCCGGCGGCCACACGGCGAGGGCTCCCGGCGATGAAGACTCCGGAGCCGGGTTTGCTGAGCTGCTCTTGGGGTGAGCAGCAGACCACGGCCGGGAGCTGCCGCTGGGGCAGGAGGAGCCCCCAGGGACCCCCACCGCCGCCGGGGACGATGCCGGCCGGTGTCACAGAGCTGGCGGAGTCGCCCCCAGTGCCGAGGGCGGTGCCGGGCGGGGGTGGCGGCCGGGCGAGCGGCGGGGGGGGGGTGCGGGAGCCCATAAAGCACCGCCCGGTGGGACGGCGCGGCGCACAGCCGGGCTGGGCGGCGGGACAGCGGGCGGACGGCGGGGCGAGCGGGGCGCAGCCATGAGGGAGATCGTGCACATCCAGGCGGGACAGTGTGGAAACCAGATCGGGACCAAGGTGAGCCTGAAGGGGAGCCGGCGCCTGCCCGCAGCTTGCGGAGCCTCTGGGCGCCCGGGGGACGCTCCCGGTGGTTCCCCGGGGCTGTCGGACCCCCCGGCGCTGCCGCACACCGGGGGCCGGGCTGTGCCAGCCGCCCCCGCTCCCCGTGCCCCGAGGAGCCGATGCCGAGCGGCGCCGGGCGCGCCCGGGGCACCGCGCATCGCTCCGCTCCCCGTGACCATAAAAGGCCTTGGGAAGTGCCGAAACCAAAGGGGACAGCTTTATAAAAATTGTTTTTAAACTGTTTTTATGTTTGAGCCGGCCAGGCTGCAGCTGAGGAGCGGGGGAGGGCGGCAGAGGCTGGGCGGCCCCTCCGGGCGCGGAGCCGCCACAGCCCGGCCGTTGGGTTTGAATCCCGGTGCCCGCCCGGCTCCCGCTCCCGCTGCCCTGCGCGGGCAGGGAGGGGCGGCGGGCACGCCAGGAATCCGGCAGCTGCCGCGGGACCGCCGCCACCCCCGGCCCCGGCGCTGGGCAGGGCCCCCGCTGCTCAGCAGGGAAGTTCCCAACCCGCTTCTCGCTTTTCCTCCTTTAGTTTTGGGAAGTGATAAGTGATGAGCATGGCATTGACCCAGCCGGAGGCTATGTCGGTGACTCAGCGCTGCAGCTGGAAAGGATCAATGTCTACTATAATGAATCATCTTGTAAGTGGGGTCGGGGAGGGGTGCGGGACAGAGGACTCCGTGGGAAGGGGCACAGGAATCAGAAGATGACGGCCTCATAAAACCATAGCGCACGTCTGGCTACACTCCTCACATGCCACCAGCCTCCCAGCTGTGCCCAGCTCAACAGAAAATATTATCTACTTTCTTAAAAAGTATTAAAATGGCTGGGTGCTATCTCCCCAGACACAGAGGAGTGGCGCAAGGGGCTGTCCTTAGGGTCTGGAGGTGGAGGTTGTTTATTATTTAACATTACTGTAGGCGTTTGCTCTTCAAATGTGATTGCTTCACTGAATGCGTTTCTTCAATTACTCCAAATTAAACTGTTGGTTATATGAGCTTGCATCTGTAGTACTCTCACTTTAATTTTCATGAATGAGAGGGTTGGACCACAGGTAATAGAGAACTGTTTCATTAATAAGATGCCAAAAGGCATCCAAGTCCTCAGAGTCCTCTGCTGTTGAAAGGTGTTAACAGCATAAAATTGGGATCTGGAGTCCTTTGGTCTCAGGACATGAACCTGCAAGTGTGAATGTTTCATCTTTTGTCTAACTGGGGTTAATTCATATTATTTACACGAGTTTCCTTGAACAAATTCAGCTTGACACACATTGTTTATCTTGTGCTTTGTGGTAGATGTGATGACTACTACTGTTTGCCATGTACACTAAATAGCTCTTTCAGTGAAGGAGAATCCTTCAAGCATATAAGCTTGTGGAGATGTGTTAGGATGACTTCAACATAAGCACTTGACTCACTTTGATATTCACAAAAAAGATTACCTACTTTCTTAAAAAGAACAAATAAACCATTTTTTTTCTAGTCAGAAACTCCCTAATATCTCTTGCTAATAAAGAGTTTACAAAATGTAAAATCCGTAGAGCTCAAATTATGTCTGGTCTGTTTTCCGAGCTGAATTGATTTATTCCTATGGATGTGGGTTTTTCTCCACCATGACTTTCTGTATAGGAAGTACTTACATATGTGTGAACTATATATTAGACTAACAATATGAGACATAATGGATTTGTGTATCGAAAGCTGTAAGTGTGTTAGTTTGTTTCTGAACATTAAGGGCATGCTTACTTTTTGTTGTAGCCCACAAATTTGTACCAAGAGCAGTCTTACTGGACTTGGAGCCGGGAACCATGGATAGTGTGCGGTCTGGTCTTTTTGGTCAGCTCTTTCGGCCCGATAATTTCATCTTTGGTATGTGGATGTTTCTTTTTAAAAAACAGAGCTCTTCTACTGCTGCTTGATTACCAAGTGAATGGTCAAAAAGCATTCAGTCTCTCTGTTCCAAAGTGATCCTACTGAGAAATCCTAATAGCTAACAATGGAATTGCAATTATCTGTATACCAGTCAAAACATCCTGCTAGCTGAAAAAGGTATTCTTCTGTTGATTATTCCTTTGGTTAGCAAACTGCTGGAAGTTTCCTATGGTATTCAGATAAAGTAAATTTTCTTTCTACATATATGAACTCCAGAGAAATCCTGAGGAGGCCAGTTCTTCACAATAAAATGCACAAAAATTCTGCAGAAAATGGAGGGGGGAGGGAAAACCTCAACCACAAACCAACCAGACTACTCTTCACTTAAATTCACATTAAATGCACAGAATTGTTTTTAGGCTGTGTAATTAAACTTTTTCAGTAGATCCTTGCAGTACAGTAATAGTGGAAGAAGATCTGTAATATGAAAAACACATGTAGACAGTTTCTGGGTTAGTTTCTAGCAGAATGAGGAACAGTCTGTAAGTATGTGGAGAAGTTCTGGTTTTGCAGTGTTCTTACAGAGGGTTGTTTTTACTCTTACTGCTTTACTTTGGAGTTTTGCAGTACTTTGCATCTAAGCTTAAAAATGCACATCACCTTTCAGAGCATCCTTACGAAGTACAGAAGCATTATCAGTCCCTTTGCACTAAAGGAGAAACAGCATGTGGAAGTTAAGTGAGCCACTTGCTGAAGCACGAAGTCTGAATGAAAGCCACCATGAGAACTTTCATGTCCTTTTGGTTTCCAAGTCTGCACTAGCCACAAACATTTCCTCCTGACAAGGCAAGCTTAGGTTGGAGCTCTGTTTGGTACGTTGTGTTAACATAAGGAAGGAGCAATGCCAGGGACAGACAGAAGAAAGATAAACATAATTTGGATGGTATAAAGCAAACTTAAGTCTGGGTTGTTGGGTTGGAGAGGGGAATGAAAAAGCCATACGGAGTTCCTTTAAGGCTTTGACTTAAAACTTTTATGCTATCCATGTTGTTCTTCTGTAAACTCCATGGCAGAGGTGTTAAGGGTCTCTTCCAAAGGAGCTGTAAGTTACAACATGTAACTCAAGGGTAAGCTTAGGGAGAAAACCCATAGACATAGGCAGCTTCATAAAGCCTGTTTCTGTATTCAGGTTGTTCCTTTCATTCCCTTTCACCTGCACAAACCACACAAACCCTCTGAAAGTGAATTCACCTGACCTATGGAAATACCTGAACTGGAGCTTTACAGTTTGGCACAACACCAGTAAAAACAGAGCAAAATCAATTCAGAATGTCTCCAACAATAGTCCAGTTTGCTGTCCTCCCTTCCTGCCGAGATAACAATGAACCAACAGCATGTGATCGACTCGTATCTGACAGAGGCCCCTGCCAGCGTCAGGCACTGTCCTCCCAACCTGCTGAATAATGTAGAATGGCTGAGCGCTGAAGTAATGATCTTCTGTGTCAAAAGCCAACAAAGCATTTTGTTTTCTCTTTTAAAAGTCTGGCGTGGGCCCACAAAGGATTTTGTGGCAGAAGCTGGCAGTCCCATACTTGCTGTACCCCAGGCTGTATGGGCTCATTCTGATGGGGATGTTTTCCACCTCTGCGTGGATAAACCTGCATGTGCCCACGTCTCCACAGCAAGTACCCATGGACCACCAATCAGGATTTCATGCAGGTGTATTGAATACATGGTCACACACTCCAGATACGGGAATTTTATATCAAACCAGAAAGAGATTTGAGATGGACACAAAATAATCCTTATACTTTAATGCCCGTGTTGACAAAGTAGTGATTTGAAAGGTGAGAACTGCAGGTGGAAAGATTTTGCTGTATGAGAGCAGCAGGCCTCCTGGCCTTCTGACAGCACACAAATGCCCACCAGGAGCTGCTGTGGACTCCTCTTCTTAACCAGTTTTCACTTGCACATTTTTGTATTTCTCATTCTTTCCTTGTGTATACTCTTGCTAGATTTCCTACAGAGATATTTGATTAAAGTTAATTGATTAAAATTCCATTAATTAAAATTCCACTTTAGTTTTTATCAACTGATGGGGGCAACCACAAAATAGCTGTCTAGCAGTCACAGGCAAGTTCTGCATCAGGGCTGTACACACCAGGCTGCTACGTGTTCATGTGCAAGCTACTGAGCTCTTTTACCAGGTTTATCTTATATTTTGAGCAGTGATGAGTGTAGAGGAGTGAAAGAAGATTGTAGGAAACAAGTGCCATTTTAGGGATTAAAAACTGACTGTTAGACAAGTGGCTTCTCTGCATGTGCAGCTCAACCTGAACATGTGTGATAACCCTACAGCGTGGTGAAAGAAGGAGTGATAGAAGGATCTGGAGGTGCCAGGAGTGCAGATAAGTTGTGGGATTGCTTCATGTAGGCTTCGTTAGATCCTGGAAAATGACAGATGCAGGATGCTGGAGATGGGCTTCCAGGATTGGCAAAAGATTTGCCAGATCCTGAGTTTTGTGGGCACAGGCTCATTGTCCACCTAGACAGTTTAGTCCTGGTGAAATTTGATCATTTCTATGTGTTTGCCTTACATTTTCAGAGGCCAAGTAGGTAGGTACCTGATAAGTGGAAGGCATCCAGTAGAGTTTCACAGGATTGTGATCATGATTTCCAGGATTGTGGCAGCCTTGTCAGAGCCATGACATCTCCAGCCTGTGTTGTCATGGGGTAAGAAGGCTGAGGCTTCCAGGGCGTGTTTACATGTTCTGTGTTGTGGTAGTCTTACAGTGCTGTAGAGCCAGTGGTTCTGGAAGTACAAGATAACTGGGTGTAGAAGTAGGAAATGGCCAAGGAAAGCACTGGAGACCTTAGGCATATGGCTGACTAGTGGATTGAGTGTAGTGTTGCCACAGGAGTAGCTGATAGTTGTCCTAAAATCAGAATTTACCTCCGTGAAGAGATAAAGCCTTCTGCATTTTGGAGGGATGTCTGCTTGTTTCTATGCATCCTGATGTGCTGCCCTATCCGTAGTAGGGGGTCTGCTCACGAAGACTGCAGGTGCAAATATGCAAACATATTTAATTCTGGAAGGATATTACTTTGTGCTTTACCCAGCTGGACAGGAAGTGCTGAGTTCCCTAGGCTCAAACAAAGAAAAATATAGCAACATACAGAACAATGCATTAACTAACCACATACACCATGAGGAAACCAAGCATTTATGCAGTAGAAAAAAAAGTACATAGGATTTCAGAAGTGTCCCAGCCAGCAGTTTCCCTGGTTCATATGTTTGGCACCAACATAGTGCTGTGGGAATTGAAATGAGACATGGTAATAGGAAGGGAGGGGAAGCTTTTAGGGAACAGTACAGGATTTGACAGCTCTATACTTAATTTTTTTAATTCTGAAACTATTGCTCTGTCTGAATATCACTCACAGGAGTACCCTAAGTGAGTTCAGTGGCAAAATGTATGTATATAGTAGTCACTGTGAGAAACAGGAGTACTAAAAAACAGATTCCCCAATTTAATCCTCCTCATTATCTAACCAATAACAAAATAGTGACAATAGCAAATGATCCACACTGTTTATCTTAATAAACTGAATAGTGCATAAAACAAGAAGGGAAGTCTTGGGAAGAAAAGAATGGACTCATCACTTTTCTGAACTATCAGTAATCCAATTTTGCAAGTCATTTTGCATATCCTAAAGAATAATGAGTTTGTAAGGAAATCAGTAAAACCTAAAAGACACTTGACTTTTAAGTTTTTGAGATGATGTCCCTGTAGCTCTTGTTGATCACTATTTTCAGGCTAGGTAACCATGAATTGAAAAAGACTATAGTTCCTGATATAGTAAGTTAAATAGGATTTTGAAGCCCAGCTTTATTCTTGTATGACAATGTTTNGGGGGGGGGGTGCGGGAGCCCATAAAGCACCGCCCGGTGGGACGGCGCGGCGCACAGCCGGGCTGGGCGGCGGGACAGCGGGCGGACGGCGGGGCGAGCGGGGCGCAGCCATGAGGGAGATCGTGCACATCCAGGCGGGACAGTGTGGAAACCAGATCGGGACCAAGGTGAGCCTGAAGGGGAGCCGGCGCCTGCCCGCAGCTTGCGGAGCCTCTGGGCGCCCGGGGGACGCTCCCGGTGGTTCCCCGGGGCTGTCGGACCCCCCGGCGCTGCCGCACACCGGGGGCCGGGCTGTGCCAGCCGCCCCCGCTCCCCGTGCCCCGAGGAGCCGATGCCGAGCGGCGCCGGGCGCGCCCGGGGCACCGCGCATCGCTCCGCTCCCCGTGACCATAAAAGGCCTTGGGAAGTGCCGAAACCAAAGGGGACAGCTTTATAAAAATTGTTTTTAAACTGTTTTTATGTTTGAGCCGGCCAGGCTGCAGCTGAGGAGCGGGGGAGGGCGGCAGAGGCTGGGCGGCCCCTCCGGGCGCGGAGCCGCCACAGCCCGGCCGTTGGGTTTGAATCCCGGTGCCCGCCCGGCTCCCGCTCCCGCTGCCCTGCGCGGGCAGGGAGGGGCGGCGGGCACGCCAGGAATCCGGCAGCTGCCGCGGGACCGCCGCCACCCCCGGCCCCGGCGCTGGGCAGGGCCCCCGCTGCTCAGCAGGGAAGTTCCCAACCCGCTTCTCGCTTTTCCTCCTTTAGTTTTGGGAAGTGATAAGTGATGAGCATGGCATTGACCCAGCCGGAGGCTATGTCGGTGACTCAGCGCTGCAGCTGGAAAGGATCAATGTCTACTATAATGAATCATCTTGTAAGTGGGGGACGCGGAGGGGTGCGGGACAGAGGACTCCGTGGGAAGGGGCACAGGAATCAGAAGATGACGGCCTCATAAAACCATAGCGCACGTCTGGCTACACTCCTCACATGCCACCAGCCTCCCAGCTGTGCCCAGCTCAACAGAAAATATTATCTACTTTCTTAAAAAGTATTAAAATGGCTGGGTGCTATCTCCCCAGACACAGAGGAGTGGCACAAGGGGCTGTCCTTAGGGTCTGGAGGTGGAGGTTGTTTATTATTTAACATTACCGTAGGCGTTTGCTCTTCAAATGTGAT